TTCTTTTGATTTTAACCCTCATTTAACCTTCATGGAATATAGCTTCAAGAAACTTCTGAAGAATGAAAACATATGAGGGTAAATATTCTTTCACAGTTTGAATAGGTAACAAATTTTAGCCTCAAAATTATTTTGCCTCAAGATATTGATGGCACTGCTTCATTGTTTTCCAGTGTTTCTGATGAGGTCTGTGTTATAAGGGTTGCTGGATAAAATATAAGATGCCAGAAAATTTTAAATTTAAGATAATCAACAGTTTTTCAGTGTATGTCCCATGCAGTGTGTGATATTTCAAGCATACTTATACTAATAAATTATCCATTGATTATCTGAAATTCAAAACTAATTGCATATTCTATATTTTTGTTTGTTAAATCTGTTAACCCTACTTGAAGGTCAACAAAATTTTTTCCACTAAATAACTTAATGATATTCTTATTACTCTTTGTGTTTTGAAGTTTTCTAAAGATATGTATAAAAGTGACTTCAACTGTTGGTATTTTTGAAACCATCTTGCTCAATACTTTTGGACTTCATAATCTCTTTCAGCTCTGCGAAATTTTCTTCTATTATTTCTCTAATGATTTTCTTCCTCCATTTTCTGTTTCTGTATGAATCCTAGTTAGCTTGATGTTGGGCCTTCTGAATCATAGCTGTAATCTTTTTACTTCTATTTTCCATATCTATCTTTTCCTTTATGTCCTGAAAAGTTTACTCAATGTTATATTCCAAAGTTCTCAATAATCAAAGTTTTCATTTCTAAGAATTCTTAATTATTCTTTAAATTATTATTGGTATCTTACCTTTGATTTATGGATGCACCAGTTCTCACATCTCTTCAAGGGTATGAGTTTTTTATTTAGTTTTGGTTTAAATTGTCATTCATTTCCTGGATTACTTTTATTTCTTTTGGGGTCAGTTCTGATTATCTCTATCTTTGTCTTTCAGAATGCCATTTTACCCCATTGTGTTTGGAAATCATTATTTATCCATAGTTAGGAATGAAGGACAGGGTAATGGAGAAGATTTCCTCTGTCATATACTTCTCCACTGAATAGAAAGGATGACAAGAAGCACTACATGTGCAGGTAGATCTTACCAGACTCTGATGAATGTGAGCAGATGAGGCACTTGGAATCCTCTATATGCCAGAATGAGTAGAGTTATAGATCCCAATACTAACTGATACAGTTCTCCTAGGCAATTAATTATTTTGTTTAAGAGAAGAGACGTATTTACCTTCCTAGGATTATAGCTGTGCTTCTTGTTTCTTTTGGGAGGGTGCATTGGTCACCTCATCAGTTGACCTGTACACAATTTTTTTTTTTTATTAACTCGTACTTCCTTTTGCAACAGTCCTGAGCTGCAAATTCTTTAGCTTTGTTCCATCTGCTTTCTGTCTTGCAGAAATATGTCAAAATCATGAATCCATTGGGGGCTCCTCATTTTTTTCACTGTTATGTGTTGAGTTTATTAAATCAATTATTGGGGAGTACTGGGGAGGAGGGAGGACAAATGCATGTATTCAGCTTGCAGTCTTGAACTGGAAGTTCCTCCCTTTCGTCTCACTTTCTATCAATTCCTCCTAAATGGCCTCTAATTAAAATATTTTGTATCTTCAAGGGTGCCTTTTGGTTTACAAAACACAGTTAAATGCATACTCACCCCTCAGAAGTGGGAACACACGTTTTTCTAAAAATAAATGCCTTAAAATAATACCTCACATCTTTTATGAAATAGTGAAATGACATAGTATATATGAATGTCCCTGGTACACTACCTGCTTCAGAATAGTTGCTCAATAAGTATTATATCTCTTTTTATTATTTTATTTTCAGAAGATAGGGCTCAAGCACATATTCTGTAATGTTGGTACAAAGAGATATATGGATAGGCATTGCTTTAAAAAGGGAATCCATAACCTAAAATAACCATCCCTAACTTAACCTGTGATTAGAAATAAAGATTAATGATTAAATTCTCATAAAATATTTGGAGCTCAAAGAAAAAATTCACTATGAAACTTGTGACATTCTTTATTCTACTGAAGCAAACATTGTTCAAATTTTTAAAAATATATGTCAAGCTACTCCTTAATTAAACTCTAGGGTTATTAACTCATGAAAATGCCACATGATTGTGATTTATACATGAGATATTTGAAGATCATAGAGATTAGGAAGTTTACCCAAGGTTACATAACAAGTAGGTCACTAAGCCAGAGCTCAAACCCAGATATTCTGACTTCAAACTGGGACCCTTTTCTCCACAGCACAAATTTTCAGGCTTCTAAGAGAATATTCAATGCATGATAAGATTTTATTTATTCTGTCATTTAAATGTTACTAATTATTAATAATATTTCATTTGCAGTGAAATTGTATGCTTTAACAAGTCAAGTCATCAATGGTGAGATGCAGTTCTATGCCAGAGCCAAACTTTTCTACCAAGAAGTACCAGCCACAGAAGAGGGCATGATGGGAAATTTCGTTGAACTCTCCAACCCAGATATCCAGGCCTCTCGGGAATTTCTTAGGAGATTTGTTGGGGTGAGTTATCTAACTGCAATTTGAGGAGGAGGCAAAGTCCTTGCAAATATTGAGCTCACATGCTTCTATTTGTCACTTAAGTCATATTAAAGCCATATGGCTCAGCCAAGAGTTTAGCGTGAAAGCCTGTTTTAAGATGTTCTGAAAGGATGGGTCACATCAAATGACTGGTTTCTCCCACTTGGCATTTCATCCTCCTAGCACCAGCTAATTTTTCATGCTTCAGGGAAGGTGAGCTAGCAGTGTCAATGTTACAATTTGGGGATTAAGAAGACAGTTCTTTCAGAACCTCATAGGCAGTTGACACCCAGATGATTGATGAGATCATGCCATTTGGGATCTTGGGGTGATTTACTGATTCCTTGTATTAAAAATTCAGTGTAGTAAAAATGTAGGCTTATGTTTGGTTTAAAAATGGTAAATGTAGTAGAATCTCTTTATATTATTTTATATATAGTTCAGACATTGCCTTGAGAGTATGATCTCTTTGTAGACTTCTTGTTTGGGTCCACCTCCTTACCTCCAGATCATATGGAGATAGTATAGTGTAGGGGCTAAAATTTTGAGCTCAGGGTTCACATGGTTCTTCTACTTACTGTATAAGCAACCTTGGGCTTATTTCTTAAATGCTTTAAGCCTCACTTTTCTTACCTGTGACTAAGGCATAGCCCCAGAACCTAGCTCATAGGATAATGTGAAGCTCAAATGAGATAATATGTGTCAAGTGCTTACATTAGTGCACATAATTATTACCAATAAATCTAACTTATTGCTATTTCTAGTAATAACAGGCTTTCATAAAGTGCATTTGTTGTACTTTAAGATACTTCATTTAATTGTTAGAATAGACAACCCACATAATACAGCTGCTGTTGGTGCTACTGAAGACAAAGTCCTGACTAGCTAACAGGTTTTGTTCCAATTCATTATGAAGTTGTTTTTTTGTTTTGAAATTTGGAGCCCATTTATTCTAATAAAGGAAACATTATAAATATTATAAATATTTGGGGTCAAGACTTCAACCTACTTAGAAGTATATTAAGAATACCCCTAGTGTTTGAGGTAAGGCTCACTTCACATCCAGTCTCCCTGGAGCACCCAGTGCTGGAGTACAGAAAATAGGATCAGAGGGGAGCAAGCCTTGGAGCCAAAGTGTCTGGGTATCAGTTGCAGCCATAAGGGACTGTGGAGCTGGGGATAATGACTGGGGCTGTTTATGGGTCAGGTTAACCCGGAATATTTTTAAATCAGTATTGCTGACTGATTTCACTGAACACTTTTTCTGAGCTCGTCAGTCACTCTCATAAGCACTTTAGAAGCACCGTCTCGTTTATGCTTCATAATAATTCTGGGAGGCAAGTACTATTACTATCCTTGTTTTCACAGTTGTGGAAACTGAGGCTTGGAGAGGTTAAGTAAGTTGTCAGGGTTACACAGCTGGTACGAGACAAAGCCGGGACTTAAGCGCAGCCAGGTCTGTCTGACACTACACTCCCTGCTCTTAACCACGGCATGTTTTTTCCATTTGCCTCATGAAACAGAAAAAAAAAAAATCCCTCTTCTTTTTTTTTTTCTGTGGACCACAGACATCAACTCTCCTCCAATCTGGCCGAGAGCAACCCCTCCTGCTTGCCTGGTGGTGAGGCCGACTTTGATCCCAATGCATTTCAGAAGCTTAGTTAGTAATCCAGCTGTCTTGTCACTCCGTGTGGAATGCCAGGCTGACCACAGGGATTCTGGTCAGACAGAGCCCATACACACGCCCACGGACCTGGGAAAGGAAACAGCCTTGTGCTTGCATATTTATGTTGGAAAAGAGCAGCCTGCTCTTTTCAAACAAATATAAGGAGTCCTTCTTAGTAGACAAGGCTCATTGTGAAGCTGTGACTTCTAACTAAGTCCAAACATGGTCTTTTTAAAGAAATGATATTTTGGTACTCTGACCTTAATAATATCCTAAATTGGTATCCAGGTCAAGAGACGAGGAGTTAGGGAATACGAGTATCTGACGTGATTTATCCTTATGTCAACTGGCAAAAAGGCAGACTGTTTAATTTAAAGTTTTGTTTTCCTTTCAACACTTAGGGACATGGGACAGTGGGAAAAAGTATTTAAACTTGTTGCAAATGGGTTTACTTTAGCAAATAAACAAATGATACCACAATGATGTCAATGGCCTGATAACTCATTCAGTTTTAGCTTCCTATTGGGGAAAGTAACCATTTATAAAAAGTAATCAGTATCTGATGGCATTGATCTTTCGACATTGTTCAGAGATTGGATGACTGAAATATCTAGGTCTCACTTGTTGTAGTTCATGTTTTTTATAAAATGGCATTTAGTACTTTCATTTTAGTTCTAAACTCAACTGGAATAAACCAAAGATAATGTTCTTCAAAACAAAATATACAGACAGGCTCAAAACTAAAATGAAATTCCTAAGAGAATTGTTTAATATGAACTCATAATTATGAGGATAACATAATAAATGAACATGAAAATAACAAAACATCTTGTTTTGAAATCACACATTGCATGGAGTTCTGGTCGCATTCATGGAAGGGCATTAAATTTCAATCCAATCACAGTTACGGGCAGCTGTGGTGTCCAAGAGGCTAGAGATGTTGTCCCTGAGATCAGTTTTTAAATAACCCTTCTCAGAGGAGCTGCATGTGAATGAGAGAACGTGGAAGCAGCTCGGTGCCAGGATATGAAGTCAGTGCCAACTCTGTGGAGTAATATGGAAAAGAGAGCTGGGCAGTGGTGGTGAGAGGCCAAGGTACACAGGGTTTGAGTGAAAGGCATCTTTTGTATTTGTAAATAACTGTTGTTTCAAAGAATAGCTGCAGTCAAATATCACACATCTAAATGCGTGAAAAATACACTCACCTCGCTGGGCCTCAGTTTTTTTGGAAAAGTAGGGGAATTAGATATGAATGGTTTAAAAATGGTGGGCGAAATCCTTTAAAGGCTTTTTGGGAGAATGACAGGAAGGCTGAGCGGGTGAGGCCCTGCCTCCCTTTAACCGGAGCAGCTTCATATTTATTTGCTCATTGAAAAAAGAGGTGCTCAGCTGTTATAACCTTGAAATCCTCTAGCATAGATCGCTGAGGTCTTAGGTTAATTATTCCATGATTCAGCGTCTAAAACCACATCCTACAATGATGTGAGCAACGTGATCAATAGAGGCTTTGGGGCCAAATAATAAGAAAAAATTGTGATGAGAATCTTTTTTTGGCACACAGATTTCTACTAAAGTCATTTTCAGTAGCTTAAAATAATTTCCCTATTCTTTCCCTATCTTGTTCATATTATGAATTTACTTACAAGATGCTTCTTTTATGGCCTTCACAACAGAAACCTTTAGCCTAGGCTCTTTTTATGAATTAGTTTAGTTTAAATTATAATATCTGAATGACGGAAGGAGCATAGTGTAAGTAGGAATGGCAAACACATGGCACACATACTACCACCTCCCCTTCCTATACTCAAGGCAGACATCACTAGTCAATCATAGGCCTCTTCCTGATATGTCTGAATGAAGCCTTAGAATTCTTCACAACATAGCTTTAGGCAGACATTACCAAGGGAATCAGACCTGGCACTCAAGGTGACAGCCCTACGACAGAACTGGTTTTGGAGTCACATAGTTCCCTGTTCAAATTCTACTTCTGCCACTAGCTGTGTACTAAGTGTCCTCATCTCCTAATTGGAGGAGAATCCTCATCTTGCGGAATTTTTTGATTATTATAGTTGCAAAGAGCTTGGTACATATAAGCACGCATTATCAGGGTTATTATTATTTCCTTTGAAAAGAAGTTACAGTTGCTTCACTTTTTGTTCATTGTACCTTTCTGGCTGTAAAGAAGCCCTTTTGAGTGGACTGGAGAGCAGCATTTCTGATGTTTCCTTCTGTTCAAACTTCACCTTTTTGATCCTTAGCCAAGGTTTTCTATTTTATTTTTTTAATCCTTCTTTCCTGAGAAATCAAGAGCAGGCTTTCGCCTTAAGACCTTGACTGACAACTTCAAGTATCTTGTTACTGTACTTTCTAGCATAAAACCTATTCAACAGCAATTCCAATTCTGACCAAATAATTTAGACCAGCTGAATCTTTATACACACATCTATGTACACACATACATGTCATAGCTATATACTGGTCATGTATGCATACATGTGCATACATGTATATATTATTTTATAGAAGCAAGTTCGAGAAAGTTTTCATTGGCTGATTTCCTCCCACCTCTACCACCTACACATCTTTCACCTCCAGTTAATTTAATGCACAGACCTACTTAAAAAATTGCTCAGGGCTTTTGAGCCCAGTAAATCATGTCGTTTCTGGTACAAAAGCAGAAAACAATTTTTAGCATAAAAAGATGAGGAGACTTTGCTGTAACAACCTTTTATCCCCGTGAATGTGTTGTAAGCCATCAGGGCTGAATTTGAAGGAAAATCCTGGGCTGGGACTGAAACAGTTATCATGCTCTCAGCTCAGGTCCTAAACATTACCTTCCACACAAGAAGCATAGATAATTCAGAGACCCAGAATCAGTTTTGAAAAAAACAAACAGAAAATTTCAGTCATCCCAATATTAATTGAAATGTTCTCACTGCATGCATTTGACAAGTAATTTTAAAACCCAGGAAGGGCCTCACTGCTCTGCTCTTGCTCTGTTTGTTAAACAAGGCAGTAAGCTACAGTGCAGGTCCATTTCGTTTGTGGGTTTGTTTACAGTTAACAAAGTTCAATTTTCATAGGGCTTTCAATGGCCCACTTTTTAGAGAAAATTACCAAGTTTTGAAACCTTAGATATTATTTTTTAAAATCTTATTTTGAAATTCTTTTAAAGACCTATAGTTGGATAAAAGAAAGAAGGCAAAAGCTAGGTATGTCTGGATATTTTTTGAAAAAAAAAAATTGGATACTTTATAACTTGACGTGGTAGTGTGTAGGTGACTGTATACATTTGTCCAAACTCATTGAATGGTACACTTAAAATAGTGCATTTAATTATGAAGCTGACCCAAATAAAGTTGACATAAAGAGGTAATGGAGTGTCTCAGACTCAGAGTGAGTGTCTGTCCTTGGAGTTTGCCACAAGTTACCTTTCCGCAGGGGCCCGGGAGAGCTGGGACGGACTGTGCCTTGGATTGCGGCTCTGGGATAGGAAGGGTCAGCAAGCACGTCTTGTTGCCGGTTTTCAACACTGTGGAACTGGTGGACATGATGGAATCGTTCCTCCTGGAAGCCCAGAGCTACCTGCAGGCCAAAGGGGACAAGGTAGAAAGCTACCACTGCTACAGTCTGCAGGAGTTCACTCCCCCACTGGGGAGATACGACGTCATCTGGATCCAGTGGGTCACTGGTTAGTCCTGCATGGCGTTGCATCTGCCCTTCTGCCCTTCCCAGCTAGAGAAGACAATACCTGGGGCTAATTTCAGGGTCTGTGGAGATGGAGCAAAGACACAAAGGGAGATCTGGCTACAGTTGTGCTTAGAACAGTTCGTTAGCCTTAGGTCTCGTGGGAACGCTCCCAAAGCTCTGGTCCTCTGGATTTCTCCCCTAATATCCTCGGAACGATTTCCATCCTGAGGGGTGGAGTGCCTTTGGACCAACTGAAATCCTAGAGGAAACTTAAATATTTGAAAAACTTTAAAAAGTGGGGCCAAAAAAAGTTCATCCCCATTTATTGGCAAGACTAGACTTTCTTAGTTTTAAATCTCCAGGAAATGAGACAGCAGTGAATTAGATTTTGGTCTGAGTGTGTGTGTGCGCGTGGGTGTGTGTATGTGTACGTGTGTGTGCGCGTGCGTGTGTAGGAGACACGGAGGAGTGACAATACAGCTGGGTTGTCCAGGGGACATGGAGGGAACCCAAGGGATGGCCAATAGTTTGTCTTGTGCCTGGGAGGTAGATAGACTAGATAGAAGAGAATCTATTTTATAGAGAGTGCACTAATTCCCCTCAGAGAGGGTACCTGTCCTCTTACCTAAATTCTCAAGGCCTCCTGCAGTAAAACAATTCAGGCTGTTAAATAATCCATGAAAGAGTGAACAAGCAGGCTCCTGATTTTTTTACCTTGTGATCATTCCATCTTTCCTACTCACCTCCTTACCCACCTGCCATTTCATCCTGTTCTCCTATCTACTTGGCCTCACCCGTAGGATACCTGACTGACAAAGACCTTCTTGCATTTCTCTCCCGGTGCCGAGACGGCCTGAAGGAAAATGGCATCATTATTCTGAAGGACAACGTGGCTCGGGAGGGCTGCGTCTTCGATCTCTCTGACAGCAGTGTGACTCGGGACATGGACATCCTCAGCAGCCTCATTAGGAAGAGTGGGCTGGTGGTGCTGGGCCAGGAAAAGCAGGATGGCTTCCCAGAGCAGTGCATCCCCGTATGGATGTTCGCCCTGCACGGCGATGGACATGCCTGACCAGCAGTGGGAGGGAACGGCCACATTACACAGAGGTGCTTTGGGAAGAGGTGCTCTGCTCTGAGGTGCCCCCTTGTAACTGATGGAGGAATGAAGGGGAGGGAGGCAATGCATGTCTGGAAATGATTGATGTAATTTGTACCAGTTTCCACTAATTATATAAGTACACGCACACGGTCTGTGGATTTTCCAAAAGATACATGGAGTGTGACATCAGGAAAAATGCTTTAAGAAACTGCTTGTATACACTGAAACTGTACAAGGGCACACACACACACACACACACACACAAACCAGAAAAGGGAGCAATGTTCACAAAATCTAAACTGCCTTGGTCTCTGAAGATTTGCATTATAGATTAGTTAAGAGTGGGTGAGGTAAAATCTAGACCACCTTTCTTGCCCTCATGCTAGATACATTATATTTCCTTCCCCTTTGGGAATACTACCGTCTTAGACAAAAATCTCCCCCCAATTAAGAAGGCACCAGTCAAAATAATTTTATAAAAACAAGTCCGTTACTTAATTTTGTCTTTAGCTTTAGCAGAAAAAGTGTATGGTTTCACTTTCTACTTGGGGTCAGTTTCACCACCCAGTGAGGTAATATGGATGTAATTTGATAACAGAAGTCTGCATTTCAGTGATGAGGAAATGTCTCCTTCCAGGGGAAACTGTTTTACCCTTGAAATTTCAGCTGTGAACATATAAGTAAATGTCATTGATAATCTAACTTTAGCTATTGGCTTCCAACACAACTTGCTTCATTGCAGCTGCTCCTGTTTCCTTGATTGATATGAACGTACCTTGGAAAGAGAAGCGAAATGATAAACCTGAAAACTGAACTAA